ATTAAACTAAAACACGAAAAACACACACACACACCTACTTAAAAAATGGTTTCAGACAGTACAAATCATATTTTCTCGCTATCTTAGCATTGAGGCTTCACACTAAGAAAAGCAAACACACACACGACAGATCTATCTCAAAAATTAGGCTTCGTCTATATTAAAAAATATAAAAAAACAGCTAAACTTTATAAATTAATGAGACTTACATTACACTTCACATTTCTATTTTCCATATTTCGTATGCATTATTATACAAAAACCTAGGACAGAAGATAAACCACTGATAGTTATTGAAACCTGGTAATTTAGATGTCCTGTATATATATATATATATCTGTGTGTGTTACTCTCGATCCCAGGATGCGATTTGAACATGTTAAAATTATCAAAGACGGAAATGAAATGCTATTTCGGAGTTTTGACGAATTGTGCTTGGAGCTACTGCAGTTTCATTACTTACTTATTTGGTATTTTACGTTTCGCAATTTGAGCAAAATAATTTGCACAAACATCGAAATAACATTTAATTTCGGCCTTTGATAATTTTGACATGCTCAAATCACGAAATGGTAATTTTTTCGGCCAGTGAATGAATCCTGAGATTGAGCGTAACATACATACTGCACCTTTCAAATCAGTTAGACTTGTAAGTAGTTCCTTAGCCATTCAATGTCATTAGTGGTAAAAGAAAAACAAAACCAGTTACATTTGTAATAGCTGTGATGTTCCCTTTCAGGTCGTTCAATTTGTCTATTCGCCGAATGGCTTCATTTGTTGGGACAAACACGGTTTTTTCTTGGGGAGTGCTCATTTCATTTCGGAACTCTGAGACGTGTTTTACCAGCTGGTTGAATTCACTGCAAATATAAATATTGTATCAAAACTCAGGATTTACAATAACACTTCAAACCAGCAATCTGTATGTCCATTCTTATTACTAATCTTGCTGTTAGAGTTAAGAAAATTTTTCTTGATATTAAAACACTTTCTCCACTGTACAAGTAATGAAGGCTGTGATTTGTCGCTGTTAACAGAAAGTTTGGGCATTCCAGTAAATTACTAATATAAAGTATAGAATTAACTTAGTTTTATGGATACGAGTAGTACGAGACTCAGTGGGTTAGTTTAATGTATTGGCAAAATAATTGCTAGAACACAATATCAACGCTACTGAGAGATTAGAAAAGTTGCATTAACTGCCTAAAGATGGCGCTATTGTGTATTATAGTAATCAATTTGTCATTAGAAGTGTGATTAGTTCCTCAATAAACACCAGTGGACTAATGGTCTGAAATCTCAGAAATCCATTCATCTATAGAAAAACAGTCTTAAAATACTAACTAATAACTTTTCACATCTTCCTCACACAATATCAAGCGAGAAAGAAAAGAGTTTGGACTCCGTAACTGATTATATAAAGGCAGCTTCGTTACCCGTTAAAATATTTGAATTTGTGACAATTACTAGCAACAAATTATACAGTCATATTTTTACAACGTTTATGCAGATCATGTAAGAACTTGAACGGTTTAATCATTTATAGTTTTTCAGCTATTTTGTTTATCAAATTAATAGCTTAGTTTCAGTAATTTTCTGACAATAACATATTTTTTTAGAAATAATAAATTTCTTTTTCATTTCTCTTATTATTGAAAATATAGTTTTCATTGCAAATTCTGCTCTGTATAACTTACACATAAACTAAACTTCCCTGCAAGCTGTAACCATACATATAGAATACCATTAATATTTCTCATGATTTGCATATAAAGAGGCAATAGTTGAATTTATATTCTTATATTATGTTCACGTGATTGCTGATATGAGCTGTGAAGGTTAATACGAAAAGCTAAACCAAAAAGCTCGTAAAGGTTATGATTTACCAATGTTTTTATCTCTAAAGTTGGTGAAATTCATGATTCATAAATTAGGTGTCTTAGTTAGTAGAAAGTTACTGGAAAGGATTTTTTTTATTTTTGTATATTTTCTAACTGGAAGCATGAAAATTTATTTTTGTTCTTTGTATGAGGTGAAAACAAACAGCAGTAAACTGGCCAAAGTTCACGTTTTTTTGTGAATTTAAATATGTTCGAATGCTTAGATTGACAGGTGTATGGATAAACTGAAGTAACCTTAGATTGACAGGTGCATGCATAAACTGAAGTAACCTTAGATTGACAGGTGTATGGATAAAATGAAGTAACCTTAGATTGACCGGTGTAAGGATAAACTGAAATAACCTTAGATTGACTGGTGTATGGATAAACTGAACTAACCTTAGATTGACTGGTGCATGCATAAACTGAAGTAACCTTAGATTGACTGGTGCATGCATAAACTGAAGTAACTTTAGATTGACTGGTGCATGGATAAACTGAAGTAACCTTAGATTGACAGGTGTCTGGATAAACTGAACTAACCTTAGATTGACTGGTGCATGCATAAACTGAAGTAACCTTAGATTGACTGGTGCATGCATAAACTGAAGTAACCTTAGATTGACAGGTGTCTGGATAAACTGAAGTAACCTTAGATTGACAGGTGTATGGATAAACTGAAATAACCTTAGATTGACAGGTGCATGGATAAACTGAAATAACCTTAGATTGACAGGTGCATGCATAAACTGAAGTAACCTTAGATTGACAGGTGTCTGGATAAACTGAAGTAACCTGAGATTGACAGGTGTATGTATAAACTGAATTAACCTTAGATTGACACGTGCATGCATAAACTGAAGTAACAAGTGATACATTTCTCTGTTTACTTGAGAAAGCTTTCACCGTATGATTTAAACAATAGATAAAGTCCAGAATCTACAACTAGGAACTGTGTACAGTAAAACCTATATTTATTTATTTCAACCAATATTTAATTACTGTATAAATATACATGTTAAAGATATCTTTTCTTTTTCACCAGAGGTGAAATTGAAAAGAGAATCTGTGGTATGGCCAAATTAACTTAGGTTGCTATGTGGTAAAGTAAAACGGACTCAAAACACTATAGATACGATATCTAATTATTCACATTCTTTCCACTGATATATGACGAGAGAGTAGATAATGAAGATGTTTCACATCAAAAATTTTTAAAGAGTACATTTAAAACTACTTTATCACACCTTTAGTTAAAACTTAAGTTAGGGATACATTTTTGGAAAGCTAAAACAAATTCAACTGAAAACTTAATAAAGGAAACACCTATGTTATCTCAAGAAAATATAGAACCAGATTGCTAGCAGTATGATTATTTGATTTCTGGATCCCTAAGGAAGGGGTTCCTGGCAGTGAGTAAAAAGACGTTAAAAATACCATTAATTGTTTTGTTTTTGAATTTCGCGCAAAGCTACACGAGGGCTATCTGCGCTAGCCGTCCCTAATTTTACAGTGTAAGACTAGAGGGAAGGCAGCTAGTCATCACCACCCACCGCCAACTCTTGGGCTACTCTTTTACCAACGAATAGTGGGATTGACCGTCACTTGTTAACGCCCCCACGGCTGAAAGGGCGAGCATGTTTGGTGGGGATTCGAACCCGCGACCCGCAGATTGCGAGTTGTGTGCCCTAACCACCTGGCCATGCCGGGCCAAAAATACCATTGAATCAAATTAAATCGGTAACAGCTTGAAATATAACTTGCTATTGATTTTTGAATTTGGCATAGCCAAACGTGACACACTACAGTATAACGCAGAATAGTGCACTGAAACAAAAGGTAGATGAAGCTTTTAACATATACATTTTTCACACTAAAAACTGATGATGGAAACAGTAGTAATGAAATGGAGAGACGGGAAAAGAGTTTGTGCCAGTCCAGCTTTCTACTGAATTTCTGCAGTAACGTATGCTATCATGCAGTGGGTAATAACGGTAAGGACATAATTATTAATTAGATAAGAATATCTAAACAATCTATGGTTTCTTTGTTATATAAAAAAATAATTAATTTTTTAACAGATCGGTGAATTCTTCATAAGCATCACTCGTATAACATATGCAGTTATGAACCACCAGTTCTATCTAATTGTAGTTTATTTACCCCCACCCCCTCCCTCATTAAGTTATATCTATATTCGAAAAAGGGTGAGGTGTGTGAACAAAGTCTATCTGAGTTCTGTCTACTGTTGGGCATCGAACCTCGGATTACAACTGTGGAAAAGACCAGAAGAGCTTACAGAAAATGTATTTTTACAGCTTAAGTTGTCCTAACAAAAATAATGGGATAAATGTATATTAGGGTTCGAAGTTATACTTACTAAAATCCATCAGTTATATACTGCTATACTTTCTAAATTTCGTTAGTTATATACTGCTATACTTACTAAAATCCGTCAGTTATATAGTGCTTTACTTATTAAAATCTGTCAATTATATAGTGCTATACTTACTAAAATCCGTCAGTTATATAGTGCTTTACTTATTAAAAATCTGTCAATTATATAGTGCTATACTTACTAAAATCCGTCAGTTATATAGTGCTTTACTTACTAAAATCCGTCAGTTATATAGTGCTTTACTTACTAAAATCTGTCAATTATATAGTACTATACTACTAAAATCCGTCAGTTATATAATGTTATATTTACTAAAATCCGTCAATTGTATAGTGCTATACTTACTAAACTCCGTCAGTTATACAGTGTTATACTTACTAAAATCCGTCAGTTATATAGTGCTTTGCTTATTAAAATCCATCAGTTACATAGTGTTATACTTACTAAAATCCGTCAGTTATATAGTGCTTTGCTTATTAAAATCCATCAGTTACATAGTGTTATACGTACTAAAATCCGTCAGTTATATAGTACTTTATTTACCAAAATCCGTCAGTTATATAGTGTTATACTTACTATAATCTCCCGTCCGCTTCTCGTTGAAGAAATTCCAGGATGGTGATGTTGATAAACATAAGAGGTGCTTCGATAAGATGTATAACGCCATTTTTGACAGGAATATTAGAGCGAATTATCTTGGAGAGAACCACACCTTTGCGATGTCGATGGTCACTTTGAAGAGTATTGCTCTGGGCAAACACTAAAATGAACAAGAAAAAATATATTTTATGTATTTTATTATTCGGCTCTAAATCTACGTTTCTTAATGTTTCATCAGTTTGAACATTTACTATATTATTGAGGACGTAATTAGACACGCTGTCGTAATTTAAAACTTTTTGCATTGTCTAGAATATTTTAAGAATAATATAAGGTTTTATTAACTACTTTTACTGAACTCTGTGAATTAGCGTACTCCACATTAATACATAATGATAAATTTAGCTTATGGATTTGAAATTTGGATGGTCATACGTTATATTAGTGTTGAAATTTAACAGTAAGATGCTAATTTAACAACGAAAAGTGTATTTTATTTAATTATATTTTTGTTCAACAAGAAGACTACATTGTCCAATTTTCTCAGATGTATTTCCATAAACATAAATGTTGTTTGCCGCAGCAAGTTATCCCCCAACCCCCCCCAAAAAAAAAACAACACTGCTACGATACCCAACTGTTGTGAAACTTTGAAAATATGTTAATTCAACAAATGAAGTAAGTTTCCCAAAAGCATAATCAGTGTGTCAAGCGTTTGTTAGCAGTAAATATCAAAACGTAAACTGATTAATTTTAACTTGGTATATATTTCAGAAGCAGTTAAATTCAAGTTCAGACAGCGTTAACATGGGTATTATATTAAATGCATTCTGCTTGGCTATTTGGATGTTATCAATATGTTAGTCGAAAGACTTTGAAACTCTACCGACTCATATACCTCATGTATTATAGTTATCTTATTTATCATCAGATGGCGCTAAACTTGTGGACAAATGTTGTGCAACCTAGTGTTTCACGCTGAACAAACAAAGTTGAAATGGGCAACAACTGCCTAGTTCAGACTGGCACTTAAGGAAAAAGTCTTGGAGGACTAATCTACAAAGGTAGTTCAGGCTGTCGTGAGTGTTCCAGTGACTGAAATTCCAAGTAGATCCAAAAACAGACCTCATGAGAACCCGTCCTTTGGTTCACGGTAAGTCCTCGATCATCCCTTAGTTTATTTGTAATTAAGCACAAAGCTACACAATGGGCTAACTGTGCTCTGCCCACCACGGGTATCGAAACCCGGATTCTAGCGTTGTAAGTCCGCAGACATACCGCTGGGGGGGCCATTCCTTAGTGCAATGCTGTCACGAATACATCCATGGCTTGAGGATTATATTAATACAAAGACAAAAAGTTATACAATAAAAATGTTAAACCATACAGAGGTAAAGAACACAACATACAAAAGCAAATAATCCATATATGACAAGTATATAATGAACCCTTGAAGAATTACAAAAGTGTTTGAAAAGTTATGTTCGGTATTAAACTGATAAATTACCCAAGCACACTCAAAAATAGCCTTTAAAAAGTGAATGGATATACCAACAAAAAAAATTCAAGTCAATAAACCTAAACCGAAATGTACAAAACTCACGACTTCAAAGCAAGTCAACAAAAATATAACCTCGATTATGAACTCATAATTTCAGCGGATGGTTACTGCTTAAAATATAAATTATGCTCGCTCTCCTCCTTCGCGGTAAAATCAGCACATTCAGAGTGTTCGTAACCTCTGTCTTTATTCATTTACAAATCAGTGCTGAGAGAATATACTCGCGATGTCATTAATCACGCCCTCCCCACCCCCCACCGTTCCCAGTGGCTCGGCGGTAAGTCTAAAAGCTTACGGTGTTAAAAATTGGGTTTCGATATTCGTGGTAGGCAGTGCACAGATAGGTAACTGTGTAGCTTTGCGTTTAACTACAAGCAAACAGATATGTGCTCGTGACTTTAAATGAAGCATGTGACTAACATAATTTGGTAAGTTGGGTTTAGTGGCATCATGCTGAATAATTCAAATAGTAAATTGTCGCCAAATGTTCTGATAAGCCAAAGTTTGATGCGATTAGAACTGCACAACTCAGAAAAGTGCTTTATGTCCTACTTTCTTAATCGGATTAATATGCATATCCACAAAGACTTGTACTAAATCTAGTTAAAATGTTGTTAATTTACTTATTATAATAATTAGTCTTGCCCTATACCTAGGTTTTCTTTGGCACCACCTATTCAAACATCAGAACCCTTTATTTCTGTCAAAAACTAGAGACAATTCGCAATACTGAAATTCGGTAATTACTTTGATAATCAGTTATTTAATTTCAGTTTTTGGTAAAACAGAATATTTTTGTTTCAAAGTAATATTAGCTTTCCCACCACAAACTTTTCCTTAAACGTAGCATTTTGAAGATAGGGTCGATATGCATCTTATAATTAATTAGTAATCATTGTTCACAATTCACCAAATATTCTACATAATTCATCTTCTTTGGGGTAATTGGACATCTTAAACGTGGAAAATCATCGAACATTTTAGGATTCATGGGCGTCCGAAGGGAGGGGCAAGAGGAAGCACCTGCCCCCAACTGGAATATAAGAAACATAATTCTTTCTTTATTCATCCAGTATATGCATATGAATATTTATTCAATTCACAATTTCACACTACTTTGACCCCCCCCCCCTGGAAAATTTTCTGCTGACGCCCATGTTAGGATTTAGTCATTTTAGTTAAATTGGTGAAAAGTTAGAAATATAAATATACGCGGCTATAACAAAAAAGATATCTTTTGTCACGCTTTTTAAGAATTTCATCATCAACAAGCTACCATGGAAACAAGTTAAACATGCGATATAAAATACAGATGGACATGCTACTTAAGTTCTATGGACTTAGATATATAGGTAAGAATATAAAACTATGGTTTTGACCTCTGCTGAGCTGTCCTTTCGGTGGGAAGACCACACAAGTTGATACCTTGTTAGCAACTGACAATGAATCACATCGCGAGGGTTAGTTGACAATGTTGGAATAGGGTGGCAAAGAAATTACTGAAACCCAGCCATCTTTGCTTCCGGTCTCCCTTTCACCAGCAAACCCGATCACGTGGGAATCAATGAAGCACAACGTGAAGACTAGTGAGTGACCTTTACTAGCTTTAGTTACCCGAAACAGGGCGGATCTATACAACAATGTTTAAACTGAATCCTGTAGCACTTTTCTAGGGAATTACCTGGAAATCACAGAAGTATTTCTACGACCATGATTAATCTTTTGGTAGAAGCGTTCACTGCAGAAGTCTTGATAAGCTAAACATTTATCAACGAGTAATGTAAATAAACATATCTTTTGCCCACTGATTTTAAAATGACGTTCATTAACAACCTTAACAACCTTTTTTTGTTGCCAAGCGCAAAGCTACTCAATGGGCTATCTGTGCTACGCTTACCAAGGGATATTGAAACCCTGTACTTAGCGTTAAATAATTAGGCTTTATAAGCATGACAACTGTCTAGTAAATACTTATAGGCAAATAACTGTTTTCTTCTATGCATGTAAAATAATACTCTATATCTTCAACCTAAACGTCACTTTATGAGACTCATCGACAAAACGGTCAGGCCAAGAGACTCCAAGTTTTAGGTATTCATCCCTAACTTAAAAAGGCTGACCAAAAGGAAAGCAATCAATCAGCAACACCCACCGCCTACATGACTACTCTTAACCGAATAGCGGGATTAGCTCTCACTTTTATAACGCGCGTTCACAGCTAAGAGTTGCGGATCCATTGTAGAAGAAACATCTTTACATATAACGATTAGAATACAGGTAGGCAAGGCAAATATCGACTGAACTTTAAGATAACTACAACAAACTTCACCCGAAAAAGTGACTAGTGGAACATGCTAATACCGTTTTAATTGGTTGCGGAAATAATTCGTTTTATAAATTGCTGCATATTACCCAAAAGCTACCTGTGTAATATTATACCTATTGACAAAAACAAAACAAAAAAAACGTATTTCATAATGTGTAAGCAGTAACCCCTTTTGGTTTGTATTATTTTAGGTTGTTGTTGTTTTAAATTACGCGCAAAGCTATACGAGGGCTATCTAAGCTCTAGCCATCCCTAATTTAACAGTCAGCTAGTCAACACTACCTACCGCCAACTCTTGGGCTACGAATAGTGAGATTGACCGTCGCGTGATAACGACCCAACGGCTGAGAGGGTGAACAAATTTGATGATGGAGATTCGAACCCGCGACCTTCAGATTGCGAGTCGAGCACCCTAACCACCAGACCATGCCAGGCCCGTTATTTTAGGAATTATGTTGAACGTTGCTTTAATTTAAAAAAAAATACAATTTCGATTTCTGTAATAATTTGAAGTCCTTTAAATATAATTGAGTAAACATTTCACGATGATGCCAAATACATAGATTGAGGAGTAACTCAGGTCACTGAGTTGGTTAGATCTCACGACGCTCTGTGTGAATATAGAAGAACACACTCTAAAGCAAATGTAATAAACTGTCAATGTTAAGCAACTGCTGTATAGATATATTCTAAATGTTCTATATATTATCATTCATATCATTATCAATAATAACCACAATTTTAACTCAAATGATATATTTTTTTAGAGAATATATTTTTGAGCTTATTAAGACCAAAAGTTCGAAATTTATAACATGAAGAAATAATCTATCCGTAACAAACTTTTTCAACTCCCCAACTTTTGATCATAATGAAACATCCAGGTGTTCTTTGGTATGCCCCAAAGGGATCCTAAGATCTCTTACTTTAATTAATTCCCATTTGTACAAGTTTACAGCCATTTCGATTTTCCCTTACTACTAATTACTACCTCAGTGCCTAATTCCCAAACGCTATTAGCCATGAGACTTTCAGGAATTATTGGTTATGGTCCTGCCACGTAGAAGTACAAATTAGATAATATATTGAAAATAGTTACTTGTTTGTTTGTTTTTTTAATTATGCACAAAGCTACATAAGGGCTATCTGTGCTCTGCCCACCACGGGTATCGAAAACCGGTTTCTAGCATTATAAGTCTGCAGATATACCGATGTGCCACTGGGGAGCACAACTAAGAGAAAAGGCCGTATATATCTAAAGAAAAGTCTACATACCACTGTAAGTCCGCAAGCTTATTGAAAGATTTGTTTCTTTGTTAATGAACACAGAGCGGCATAATGGTATATTTGTGCTATAAGTCTTCAGACTCGCCGATGAGCTTCTGAGCAGGGGGGCTTACTGTGAAATTCTAAAACTTAAATGGAGGTGAATTATTTGAAAATACCAAAAAGTTGTATAGCAAAAGAGTCACTAACCCCTGCTATTACGATTGGGTTCATTCTGCATCTTATTGTTTGCTAAAAGGTCAATACTATTTTCTAATAAACTACATTTTACGCATTTGGATGCAAGATACTTAGTGTTAATTTCAATAATTGTACAATAACAAAACTCGCCAATTTTCACGGGTGAGAACATGTTTCACAGTTTTAAGAAAATTGCGCATTTTCATTATAAAATTAACGTTTTTACGCATTATCACGCTAGTTTGACTTTTATTTGTTTATCAGTTCTATATGTCATAAACGTATAAAAATATAATCTAGGATAATTTTAGTTACCGAATTTTTTGGGACACTTACGCTTTTGTTTGGTAATATAATAATCCATCCCCTTGATAAAGTGTATAAACTGAAAAGATTTATTAAACATTTTTAGGTTATGCGTTTTCAGAAGCTTTATTTTTATCTCGTGAAAAAATATGGTATACTTTGCTTGCACCAACAGACAGATATATAATTTGTCAAAATACGTTCCGTAATTATACTCGCTTTACCTAGTACGTGTATATTATTATAGTAATTATAAGTTCCAGTTTACAACTCTAGAGTATCACACACTGGGGGCGCTGAACATGAAATAATTAATCTAAAAATATATATATGTTATTTGGAGGTTAAATTTGTATAGCTGTATGTTTCAGAATAAGCTAGATTATAACTTACTCTAGTGACATTTTTATTATGAAATCAGTAAAGTACGATTAGTTACTCAGATATTGAAGTGATCAGAGGTGTACCTTATCTGCTCGGCTAACCATTTAAAATAACTTTGTATTACGCAATGAATGCTATATCGTGGTGGTAAAACTACGTACGCGCCTTTGGCACTTTTCGGCCGGAGTTTTACCCGTATTTGCTCCATGATGTCGAATATTTGATGGTTTTATTCATCTGATTTCAATTCTGTTCTTTGTTATTTTTTTGTCATCTATTATGGTAATTAGAAATCTGATGCTGAAATTAAATTGAACGCATAGACAAAAAATAGCAG